AACCGTCTACTGAAATACTATGCTGTTAGATTATAATTTTTATATAACATATAATTTAACAAATACAGTTGGTCATGCTGATGCATTATCTAAGCTAATGACTACACAAATTAAAGTACTAGAACACTCAGTTATTGTAGCATTATCTCTAAAGCCAGAATTCACTTAATTTCTACAATGATCCGTGATGCTGCAGCTTCTGATGCAGTGTTAAAAAAGGTGATATTCTTCCATCGTATAAAATGGCCATAAGTATGCACTGACAAAAGAATTTAGTCATTCTTTCACCTTCGATCTTCATTGTAAGAAGTCGAGGCTGTCTTCTTCTGCGGAACGCGTAATTATCCCATTTTCATTACAGATGTGATAAAGAAATTCCATTATGGTCATCAAGGTATTAGCCATATGAAATTCCTAGCACGCAGCTATATTTATTGGCCAAATATGGACAAGCACTTGGATGAGTTGATATGCACATCTTCCAATTGCAAACTGGCAGCAAAATCTCCCAGGAAAACTACACTCAGTTTCTGGCCTCTCCCCGAATCATCCTGGTTACGCCTTCACACTGATTTTGCTGAACCCATCAAAAGGTAGTATTATTTTATCCTCGTGGATGCTTACAGCAAATGGCCAGAAATTTTTCAGATGAACCGCATCACCACGGATGAAACAATTATTAACTTAAAACAAATCTTCAGTCGATTTGGAGTCCCACAGATATTAGTTTCTGATAATGTCACTTCATTAAATCATTTTCAAATTTCTGTGCGCAGAATGGTATTCAACACATTAAGAAACCACCTTTTCATCCACAATCAAATGGACAAGTGAAGTATTTTGTATATACTTTTAAGCGGACACTCCTCAAACTCGAAGGGGGAGAAACCACACAAGAAATAATAGAAATATTCCTGGGAAGTTACAGAGCTACACCCAATTCAAACGCACCTAATGGAGATTTACCAGCAGAAGCATTGATGAACCATAAAGTTTGTTTACGCATAGATGTCATCCATCCAACTACAAACCATTCCCTAAAAAGGAGCACAGTGATGGAAAAACAATTTAACCGTTATCATGGAGCAGCGAAACGCAAATATGTACCAGGGAAAACTGTACTTGCAAAAGATTACCACAATAGTAAAGAAAAGGACGCATTATACATCGCTCTGGAAATGTTACGTACGACATGGATATACAGTCTTCATTCTGGGTTCGACATGCAAACCAATTACGACCAGAGACCAAACTAAACTCCACTTTATCGCTGGACATTCTACTGGACACCTTCGAACTACCTCAACAAATTTTCCAAGTAATGCAAAAGGACAAAGATAGAACTCCAGCAAAAAGTGCACCAAGGAAATCATCGACTACAAAGTAAACCATTGCAATTAAATCCCTGGCAAAATTCATACAAACACAAGACTAAAAAGAGGAGGTGTTAAGAGGTACTTACTTATTTCTCCATATAAAGGACGATAACTCAAAATACAAAGGAGTTATGTTTCTTGTCCTCTAGTTGAACCGCAGCACTTCTCAATTCAACATGGTGATAACTCTATTTTCATTCTTTACCTGACGTCTAACCTTCTTATTACTCTGGTCATTTTATTTAACTAAATTTTAACTCTAACTACAACTCTAAGTTTATACATTACCTAATTTATAACACAAACACTACACCCAGGGTTTATTTTTCATCTACATTGTAACATTAATTCTAACTCGAGGTTTTTTTTTAATTTAACACCCTAAATGCAACCTTAGGTTTATTCTTTACCTAATTTCTAAACCTAATTCCAATCGTAGGTTTATCCTTTACCTAACTTCTAGCCCTAACTGTAACCCTAGATTTATAATTTACCTATATTCTAACCCTAACGCTAACCGTAGGTGTGATATTTGACTAACTTCTAACATTAACTCTAACACTAGGTATTTTTTTACTTTTCATAACTTCTAACCTTAACTAAAACTCTAGGTTTATTCTTTACCTATCTAAAACGCCAGGTTATTTACTAAATTCTAACACTAACTCTAACCCTTGCGTTATACATTACCTAACTCCTAACTCTAACCCCAGTTTTATCATTTACTAACCGAAATATAATGCTGGTTTATACTTAACAATTTTTATCATTTCACCACAAGAAAACCAATAAAGCAACTAAGACGCGACATGTTCGTGACTGTGGGAGGATTTAAGAGAAAGAAAATATTATGAAGGAACGAGAACAATAAAAGAACAAGAATTAAGAAGACAAAAGATAACCACTGACATTGCATTTAAACTTCTGAAGATATAAGTTGTCTGGAAAGCAAGAAGACAAAAGAGAGTTTCACAAGCGAGAAGTGCGAAAGAAGAAACTGTTAGCATAGAACTTACGGTTACATTTAGCCATTTCAATTATAAAATGTTGAGACCTAGCCGCAAATCTAGTAGTACGCTTAAATTCATGTCGAGATGCCAAAGAGTAAATGTCATTAGAACAATTACCAGGAAAATATTTATATAAAAGGCACAGGGAAGCTATGTTATGGCGGTGGGAAAGTGAATGAAGCCGAGATGCCAGCTTAAGACCAATAATTTGGAGATTCTTCTTTGTATTTTATCAAGAATCTCCAAATATATAGAAGCACCAGACCAGATTTGACAGCAATATTCAGTGCATGAACGGATAATAGACTTATAAATGTGTAAGGTAAGTTATGGCCGATAGTTAGAAGTATCAGACGATTCACCTGAGTTCTTACAGACTGGAACTACAGAAGAGGATATTCCAACAAGCAGGAAAGCACCAATGCATTTATTGTAGAGTTTAGAGAGAACAGTAACCTTTTCAGGAGAACATTTCTTAAGGACTGTTGCAGGACTAGCATTAAGTCCATGTGCTTCGTGGGGAACAAGTTTAGAAATCATAATAAAAATCATAGGCAGAGTTATATGCATATTACATAATAGTGACTCGGATCTAAGTGGAAATTCCTGCAATGATACTCTAAATAAGTCAAGAGTAGAATTGGAAGCGACTTTACGAGCGGAACCATTTACTTCCTCAGCAGATTTTAACATTCCAAATTGAATAGAAGACTTACTCTTATTTATGTAACTGTTAACCCTAATTCTAGCCATAGATCTCTACTTTGCTCATATTCTAATCCTAAGTCTAGGCTTTTTCTTTGTCTAACTTCTACCCCTAAATCTTATGATAGAAATATTCTTTACCTAACTTCTACCCCTAATGCTAATCCTACGTTTTTACTCTATTTATATTCTGATCGTAACACTAACCCTAGTTTTATATTTTACTTAAATTCTAACTCAAACGCTAACCATAAGTTCAGTCTTTCACTATATTCTAACACTAACTGGAAGTCTAGGTTTATCTTAACTTATCTTCTAACCCTAACACTAAAAAATTTGATTTCCACTTTACTTAATTTCTAACCCTAGATTTATTCTTTGCTTAAATTCTAACTATAACTATAAACTTAATTTTATTCTTTACCTAACATCTAACTCTAAATTTAATCCAAGGATTATCCTTATCAAACTTCTAATTTAAATGTTATCACTAGATTTATTCTTTACCTAACCTCCAACCTATCCCTAACTTCAATGCTTTATATTTTTCTGTGTTATAAGTTCATTTTCTAAGTGTGTCTTAGATGTGGCACAAGGCCGAAAATATGGGGTATCCAGTGAGAAGCGAACTCACTACATAGTCGTAATTGTTCTAGTGAGACACGCTTACCAACCATTACACCACGACGAGGTACCCATTTTTTGTTTGATATGACTTTATTATATTTCTATATATTAATGAACTATGAAAATAAAAATTGTATTTCATTGAGAATGAAGAAATACCTTTTGTAAACAATTGTTATCAACACCTGCCTACTATTATCTAATGTATTAACTGAGTTTATTGCAAGCTGAGTAAAAAATTCCGAAAACGTGTACTTGTGTACAATACAACCCCTCTTTTTACTTTAATTTTTGTTAAAAATTTCTCGTATTATGTACAAGAAAATACGTTATCTATCCTTCCTTCAAGCTATCTCAGACTTTATAAATGATAACTATCCGTAATTTTAACTCTAATCTCTTAGCCTTCAACCAAACCCTATCTACAATCCCAATACAGTAAATTAAGCCTAAAGTAATCCCAATTAATCCTAAACTGTTACATAACCCTAACGCTTAAATTATATCTCTGACCATAAAGTCTATCCCAAAACTCACTCTTGCTAAAAACTTCGACTGAACTTAAATCTGGAACCATAAAATTCTCTCTAGCTACTGTTCATTCTCATTCTCTCTTTCTATTTATCTATCATTCTATCTCAGTTCCTTATACTCATCTATGCTACACTATCTTTAACGATAACCCTAACCCATAATCCTAATTTGTTAAGGCTCACACAATACAAATCCCCAAACCAACACTAATTCAGCCCTCACGTCTTCATTTATATACAAGACGTGGGCGATCATAGATCTCTCTAAAGATTCCTGTCTTTTGTAGCTCTGTGTATCTTTTGACGAATAGTGAACATAACCCTTAAAGTATAAACTTGATCATAAACCTTACGATAAGTATATTCTTATCTATCTCAGTATATTTTATCTATCAGCCTGCTCATCTCCTTCTACGCGCCACTCTGTTTAATTTGTTAATGATAACCTAATCCTAACTGTAACTATAAACCAAATCCTAACGTTACCGCTTAATCTAAACCTAACTCTAAACCTTAAAACCTAAACATAACTTATTATCCTAATCCATTTCCGCTAAAATGTTGCCTAACCATAACGCCTCATCTAAAACTACCTATCTATCTATCTATCTATCTATCTATGTTCTTATCTTTTTCTTTTCTCAGCTGTCTCTAATCTATATCTTAATATCTGTTTACGCCTATCTGTTATCTATATCTGTGTGTGTGTGTGTGCATATGTGTGTGTGTGTGTGTGTGCATGTAAGGCATTATTCTAGCTCAGTAATGTTCCACAAATAGATATGGTGGGATCGGTGGCGAACGAAAATTAGTGTTGGTGGCGAATGGGCCGTCAGGGAGTGAACCAATGTTGACCAAATGAGGCAAGTGAAGAAGTGGTTACATTGGTTCCTAAATTGGAATTGACGAAAGTGGGAGAAGGTGTGGGTGAAGAGTAGGCGGTCAAGGTGAAAAGGTAGAAGAAACGGGAACGAAAGAACTGGTGGGCATGATGAGGTAGGATGTAAACCAGCGGTGCAAAGAGCCGGGAATGAAACGGTTATGTGCCGACGCTGTGGTAATAAGACTGTAAACAAAATCAACAAGCAATTAGTCGGTCGGTCCGGGAACGAAGATACTGTGGCTAGAGAAACGAAGGAGGGAGTTTTGGTCAGTCGAGCGTGAACACTTCCCTCGTTGGTGGACCGTGTCCCAAACTCGTAGAGAGACAGAGAGAGACAGAGAGAGAGAGAGAGAGAGAGAGAGAGAGAGAGAGAGAGGGACAAAGGAAGAGAGAGAGAGTGGGGAGAGAGACAGAAGATGAAGTAATCGGTAAGATATAGAGAAGAGTAAGGGGGCAGATGGAATTCTGCAGGGAGTCTGGCTTGGGGCGACAGAGGCTGCTGAAGCTGCAAAATTGTTAACAGTTCTACAGCTGTCAGTGTAGTGAGCATTTATTAACTGATTTGGTAGGAATATGTTTATGAATTGGGAGCATTAACTGAGCTTAGCTTAATCATAATCTAACAAAATCTCACAGTAACGCGGCCCTTGGTGAGAATCGAACTCACTAGGTAGAGACTGATAACCATCATTTATTTATTTACTAGCTTAGTCTGAAACATGGACAAATTTGTGGAGCACTCAGTTTTATCTGTCATTTATGGCAAGTATCTATTATTTATTAAACTTTTCTTAGCCTGGCATACAGTCAAAATATATTAAATCGAATCGAACTTAAGTTGAATAGAACTTAAACTAAAAACAGAGTCTATATGGAATTTAGTCACAAGAAAAATGTAAGCGGAAATGAAAGATTTGGCTTGATTTTGAACACCAATAGATAGTATTGTGTATAAACTGAATCTTGATATTTTAGGAATTATTTGTACTATTTCAATCATTGTTGCTTTAATCCTCTTATTTCTGTCGTTGAGGCCATCATTCTTCGCGTTCTATGAAATTTTCCAATGAAATCTTGCCATTTCACGCATTATTCGGATTAATATTTTTTTATATGCTGTTTTTATCACTATATTTCAGCCGAAATAGTTTCCAACTTTCCTCATCTTTAAGGATCATAAATTTAATTTCATCTTCGACTTTTAGTTTTATATAACATTATATTTTTAATCATTTTTACCTCAAGTAATGTAATAAAAGCCACCAGAAGGCAAGGGGTTACTGAGATTAAAAGAAATAGAGAGGGCAATAAAAGAATAGGTTCAAGGAGTGAGATGAGCTCATAAGTGACATTTCATTTAAATGTTTGAAAATCTAAGTTGACAAGTTAAAAGTAGAAAACCAGAAGAGAGTCCCACAAGCAAGACATGCAAGAGAATAAAATATTAGCATAGAACTGTATGGATACAACTGGCAATTCCAACAATGAAATTATGAGAAGTAATTATGAGAGCCAATCTAATACTGCGCTTAAATTCCTGAAGTCAAGGAACCAATAAGGAAAGTACATAAAAAATTACCGTGAAAATATTTATAGAAGATGCAAAGCAGTGCGAAAGATGAGATATCAGGTCAGGACCTCTAACATTGAGAATTCTTTAGATTTTGTCAGGGAAAACAGAAACAGCAGATAAGATGTGGCAGCAATATTCGATGCAAGGACGAATGGTAGACTTATAAATATGCAAGATAGATTCAAAAGAGAAAAATTGTCCAGCAATTGGTTTAAAATTCGAATTATAAATTCCAAGATAACGATTTTTCCCACCTTTCGGCAAATATTCTATATATCTGAACCAAATCAAAGCATATTTCTGTTAGAAGTACGAGGTGGCGTAGTGAAAATCGAAACAATCGTTGAACCGTGTCCGAATTTAATCTGAAAATGCTTATATGCGTATAATTATTTATTTCCTAATTATGCTATTGAGTAAGTCATTAAACTATTTAACCCTGCGGTCTGTACATTACTTGTTAAGTTAGTGGCAGCAAAATATTGTCAACCTCGTTAATACGATGAGATATTGAGACATGTCTTCTCGGCGTGAAGGTTGGAGATGGACAAGTAAATCGGGAGAATTTTATCTTAAAAGATATCAATGATTGTAGTTTGCAAATATGTAGGATTTAAGTGATTCATACTTTGAGAAATTAGTTGCAAATAAATAAACTGTCTATTCATGTTAATATTTCAGTTCAGCCATTATTTTCCGAACAATCTAATATTTTACTCGTTATTTCAGAGTGAAAGGAGGCATAGCGTTGAATAATGCTTATCGGAAAGGGGCCTGCGCGTTAAGGTGAAATAGAGGACAAATGTATCTGTAAATGGAAAGGCGTCTCAGCACCCATCAGTTAAGGGAAGGGGAGAGAAAAGAGTAAATTAAGAGTGACAACCTCACTTCATTACATCGCCCGATGATAGCTTAATTAAACCTGCCATGTCATTAATTCATTGTGGTTGCAGCGGCGACGGCGGTGTCAGCGGCGGAAGCGACAGTAGAACATTACCTCACTGTGTTAGCAGTGACCCTACTGAAGAAGGCGACAAGAAGGATAGAAAGGTTGGTGTAGTCAAGTTTCAATCTGGGCAGACATACTGGTTCGGTAGTAGCATCATAAAAAGACGAATGTGTGCGCGTGTGTTTGCGTGTGTAACTCATGTTAGACGCTTCTTACGTGTATTCAAATTATATTCATATATATCTTGTTTATTGCTATTTATTAATAAATAAAGACTAATAGAGCTTCTCGTTAGAATCAAACTCACTAATATATATATATATATATATATATATATATATATATATATTAAATTATAAGAGTTTTTTAGGTGGTAAAATTGCTGGTTCTTTTTCCGTAGTTTAGACATTTTGGGCAGGCAGTTTATTTTTGTCATAAAGTGCTCGATATCAAAAGTTAAGGAGTGTAAAATGATTAATTTGGGTAAACTTATCACTTACCAGAGTGGTGTTATTTCAGTCATGCCGACTACGAAGTTTCGTGAGTGTATTGTAGTTATGCCTTCACTCTTCAGGGCTGTTATTTTAATTATATATATATATATATATATATATATATATATATATATATATATATATATATATATATATATATATGTGTGTGTGTGTGTGTGTGTGTGTGTGTGTGTGTGTGTGTGTGTGTGTGTTTTGTTTATAGATACATTGTTCAAATACATTAATATCGTTTTTTGCCTTGAAACACCGCAGGTTGTTACTTTTCAATCACTTTGGATATATAAGGGGGTGATGGTTGAAATGAATGACAAAATGTTAAAGTTCCCATTCTAGGCATTTCGACCGTCGAAATGACTTATTCAGGCTAGCAACAATTTACGTTTTATGATTTTATTGATATTTTATTGCTATAGCTTTTAAATATTGTTGTTTTTTATTGTTCTCTTTTTTAAGTCTCAGTAGTCCCTCTCAGCTTAGTGGCTTATAAACGTATGTGGAGAAAAGATAATATATATATATATATATATATATATATATATATATATATATATATATATATATGACATATTGAAATGTAAAAGAACGAAGAATAAAATTACAAAGCCCAACACACTAAATTAAATCGGAGCTCAATACAAAAGTAAACAAAACGTACAATTTGTAGTAGATATATATATATATATGTGTGTGTGTGTGTATATACATATATATATATATACACACACTCTCTCACACACACACACACACATATATATATATATATATATACATATCTGTCTATATTTCTGAGATGAGGTATTATGCACATTATTTACATTTACTTCTTTATTTCGCCCACTGGTGTAAACTGTTCGAGTTCCACGTGGCATGTTTAATGGATGTCAGTTATCAGCAGTTATCACCTGTTAATTTTACTCTGAAAGTTCTCCACTGCCTTAGCCGGGTATTGAACTCACACTCTTTGGGTCCTGTCACTAACTAACGCCTTTATCCACTGTGCCATGTGTCCTTGAGGACATCAGTGTATGAATTTCTGGGTATTATAAAACTAGAACAGTCTACCCCGGTAGGCTAAATAAAGGGTTCAGTTCGACATTCCAACGACCTGAAGAAGGCCGGATGGTAAATGGCCTAAACGTTGTAATAAATATGGCGACAAAGATGAGGACAAAAGTCCGAATAATGTAAATAATGTATATATATATATATATATATATATATATATATATATATATATATATATATATATATATATATATATATATATATATATATATATATATATATATATATATGCATATATATATATATATATATATATATATATATATATATATATATATATATATATATATATATATATATATATATATATATATATATATATATATATATATATATATATATATATATATATATATATATATGTATATATATATATATATATATATGCAGATGTAATACAAGTATATATATATATATATATATATATATATATATATATATATATATACTTAGTGGGGAAGCAGATCATTATTTGTACATATGTTGTTAAATATTACAGACAATGAATGTCTACTATCTCTGATCATGAGCCGTTACGATATTTGTATGTTTGCTTCAAAAATCGGGTGAAAATAAAGACAAAAATTGTCCAACATTTGGATATTTTTTACTAAGTTGGTCCTTGATGGAAGCTTTTGGCTGACATGAGCCATCTTCAGAGTACTTCTTCGGACATTTAAACAAAGATATTTACCATCGAGGATAATATTTTGTTATATTGACATAGAAGATTGCTATGCGACGCTAACTGTCGCGGAATAGCAGATGCAGTTTGTAAATTTAAGATGGAGTTCTACGTCGTCATGCCACGCGAAAAACCAAAATATTAACAACAAATCCATATGTCTAGATGCAATGTAATGTGTTGTGATTTGTTTTAAATGTAATTTTGTTGAGTGTGGGTTGCTTTGTTTAAATGTATATGGCGTCCAATATCTAAAGGTTCTTTTTACTGTGTGCATGTGTGAGTATTATTGTGTTATCAAGTAATATCTGTCTAATATTATGTCCATGGTTATGTTTTTCTAAGAAATATTGTTTAACAGAACTAAGATCAGAAAGTTGACTGGTAAGTCTACGGGAGAGCGTGCTTGTAGTAAAATAAATATATCTAGTGGGTTTATTATTAGTAACAGAGATACAATCTCTAAACGGGCATGTAAATTGATACACTACATTGGTTTTTTGTAGATTTAGTTATGTGGTTGCAGGGTTATTAGAGACTATGAGGTCATTTATTTTAAAATTTTTATAATATATGATGAGCTTAACTTGTTTATTATTATTAATGTGTTTAACATTTCTACCTATTATGTTTTTGAGTGTTGTTTCATTATGGTTGTAATTATTATGCATTTGGTTACAGTAATATAAGTTAATAGTGTTCTGTTTATTTTGACGTACACTATTATTAATATTATCAATTTTGTTAGAGGTAATATTAAGTTTATTAAGATATATTTTAACTTATTGATCAATGATGGAATTAGGGAATCCATTATTAACAACTGTTTGTTTAATGTAATTCTGTATAGAATATTGTTTGGAAGAAGATATCATTTGTGTACGTTGGATTAAGTTTATTTATAACAGTTAACTTATATAGTTGGGGGGGGGCACTCACTATTATAATTAAGAAGACACGAGTTAATGTTAGTGGGTTTCCTATATAGAGAAGTAGTAAATTTATTTGTGTTGGAATCAATAAATACATCGAGTAATGGAGTTTTATTAATAATATTAATTTCTAGTGTAATTTAGGACGGAGTGACTTTCAAATTGGTTTTTAAGTTGTGTAATTTGATCAATATTTTTAGCTAAAATGAAAATGTCATCTATGTATCTTACATATAGAAGGGGTTTATAAGTGTCATTAAGTATTTTATTTTCTAAATGTGCCATATAATAATTAGAAAAAAGGGGACCTAAAGGAGATCCCATTGCAATACTGTCTATTTGAGTATAAATATTACCACGGGGGTCATGAAAAGGTACTTGAGCGGGATATGCTAATAATAATTTTTTTTAAATAGTGGGTTTAATATTAATGGGTGGGAGTTAAGTGTGACTGTTACATAACAGATAATGATGTCAATTATTTCATGGATGGGACATTAATAAATAAATTTTGTACGTCCAAAGATGCTATTATTTGGTTGTTTGGTTTGTACAGAATGAAGAATTTGTATAAATTCATTAGTGGAGTTAATACAATATTTATTTGGGAGGTAGCGAGCAATTAATTTGTTAAGGGTTTTTGAAAGGTAATATACTGGTTTACATATTTGTGAAATGATAGGTCAGAGAGGATGATCTTTTTTTTTATGGATTTTTTACATTTCCATAAAGGTAGCCAGGCTGATAGTCACCTAAAATCTTTTGAAGTTTATAGGATCCTGTTTCAGCATTGTTAAAATTTATAAGTTTATTAATATGGTTTTTAAGTTGTGGGGTGGTGTTATTGGTTAATTTTAAAAATTTATTATAATCGTTCTTAACTTCGTATAGTTGCTTTAATTTCAGGCGAAAATAAAGACAAAAATGTCCAACATTTGGATATTTTTTATTATGTTGTTCCATTATCTAAGCTTTCGGCTCACATGAGCCATCTTCAGAGTGGTTATATGAAAATTTCAACAAAGATATTTCCTACCAAATATAATATTTTCTAATGTTATTCGTTGTCTGTTATATTTAACAATAAACAATATACATATATATATTTATACATACATATATGCTTATAGATATATATACATACATATATATACACACACACACACATATATATATATAAATATATATATATATATATGTATATATGTATATACATCGTCATTGTCGTTGTTATAAAACCAACATATGATAAAAATTTTAATGTGTATGTTGGTTTTATAAGAACGACGATGACGAGAAGGCTTACGTTTCACTTGAACGTTCATAGTTCAATCTCAGTATATTTAAAGGAACACTAAAATTCTTAAAATTCTGGAAGCCCTTTATATAAGAGAATTTCAGCCAATATAAATAAAGTCAATTACGAGTATAGTAACAAATTTCTTAAATGTTTGTAGGAGCAAAGTGCTAAATAAAAAATACTAATTAAAATACTACAATTAAAAAATTCCTTTAAAAGAATTAAAAATATTTGGATGTGAACGATATAATTTCTCTTTTTCTATTTCTGTACCTACATCCCACTTTAGATATTTCCGTGTTACTTATGGGGGTTAGATAAAATAATTTATTTTTAAAATCACTTTTATGGAAAGTATTTTCATACAGTTCTTTATTTTTATTAAAGACGTTTATATTAGACGATAATCTACTAATTCTAATGCCGACAGTAGTAGGTATCTGTCTCACAATGGCATTGGTGGGGTTAAAATTAACATTAATATAAGTGGTAGTTTCATTCTCTTTATGGTATGGTTTAAAGGTATTATTATTGAGGCTAAGGGTGAAGTCTAGATAATCAACTATTTTAAGTTTTGAAGAAATCTCAATCCTAAACCTTAGTAATTTAAATGCCCTAATGATTTTCTTTTATATGTGTGCTGCTAGTGGACCATTACTATTGGGGATGAAAATTAGTCCATCATCTCTATATAGGACTTATA